CTAGCATAGTACATGGCTGGCCCGAATCAGCTGCAGAGCTGACAACTCATATGGGTGGTTGTCAAAATTATGGTCCCTTTTTGGGTCCTTATTATAATACGGCACCTATTATTTAGGGTACCCCTAAAGGGACCATAATTTTGACAACTACCCATATACATACAACTGTAAACAGCATGGTTAAGCAAACGTATACCAGGCGCTCAAGCAGGCTCCCAACATAGGCAAGAAACGACACCACCAACAGATCAAATGGGTTTAGAGGCACGGTTTGTGGTTTAGGGTTGAAGTTTAGGGTTCAGCAGCTCCGGTCCGTGAAGTAGCTTGATTACGTATAGGTGTTGTTCTTGGGAACAGGAGAGTACTCACTCACCCACCGGGTAAGAACATGCTTCATATAATACGGTTTGGGCCCAGCTTATGACTTCAACGAAGAAGCTCATGAGATTCAACCAACTTCAAGCTTTGACAAAAACTCGGTCAGAACACAACTGGGCAGTTCGATCTCCACCTCAATGAAGTCATTCAACGAGAAGGAACGATTACATGAAATCACCTAACTACTGCCTATGGTTTAAAATGCTGGATCGCAACAGCAACCTTCACACCTCCCAGAGAAGATCACCAACCTTTGCTGTCGCAGGTTCTTGGACAATGACATCGCCTTTACTTCACAGCCTGAGGCGGCTTCCTGTGGTACAAAACCCTAGCAGTGCTTTGCTGTGACTCATGGCCCCTCAAATCATAAGGCATATCCCCCGGAACTAATAAGTTATCGGATCCACCCGGCTAGACTGCCCAGCCTCAAATCCCTCGGCATCGCGCCCGTAGATCTCAGGATCGGAGGAGCACGGGCGTTATCATCACACGGTTTAGGGTTTAGGTTTTAGGTGTTGTCCCCTGATCTCCTATGTGTCAGGTTTTCTTTTCTGGGCTCCTTTCAGGGCTCTTTTATAGGGTGTTGAGGGTTCCTCCATGATTTACCGGCTGGGGCTTGGCTTTCCAACAAGTAGGACCACTGTCGTGAGGCTCTGCTCAATCTGGATCTCAATTTGGTGTCCTTTGTCGTGGGAGGCTTGGACGTGGAGATTGGAATACCCGACATAAATAACAGCACAGACCTTGCTGTTCCAGTCGCTATGGGGCTTCAGAAAAGGATCCTTAATAAGGTAAGGTCATCCCTTCCCCCTCCTCCCCCTGCCAACATGTAGTGGATGAAGCCATTGACCCGTGCACCCGCCCCCGCCCACCCTCCCCCCCCATCCGGCCCCACCCGCACCGTTGGGGTTCTGTCATCCATCCGACATCCTATAAACCCGAATGTAAGGGGTCGTTCCCTGCAGACTCACTGGCTTCACATGTCTAGGAGACGGCTCTTGCTTTGTGCGATCCTGTTCGCTTCGGCTCATGCAGCCACTATCTTCAACGACCCGCACAAGCCCTCGACTGCCGTCCGAAGACCCCGAATGAAAAACAAACAGAGACAAGGGCAAAGGTAGTGCGGGAGAGAGGCAAACA